TGCATAAATTCTAAAATTTCTACACAGTTCTATTTCATAAACAGCTGAAAACAAGTAAAAACCCTGCCGACTTCCGGCCTATTTCCATCACTTCTGTTGTTACGCGCTGTCTGCACAAGATTATCGCCAAGCGATGGTCCAGATCATTCCCAATGGAAAAACTACGGTTTGCCTTCCTGCAACGTGATGGCTGCTTCGAAGCAACCAATCTACTTCACGCCATCTTGAGAGAAGCGCACTCCAACTACACAAGTTGCGCGTTAGCTATCCTCGACATCTCGAAAGCTTTCGACAGCGTCTTACATCAAACAATTCTAAGGGTGGCTGGGAGTTTTGGTGCGCCCCCAATGCTTAGAGAATATCTTACAAACTACTACTCCAACTCTTACAGTCTCTTCCACGAAGTGAATTGTCATCCAACACGAGGAGTCAAACAGGGTGACCTCCTGTCACCGCTTCTCTTCATCATGACTATGGATGAGATACTCAATGTTCTTGAAGCCCATGACCCCATCTACGTCGATGGCCATCCTCTGCACTACATAGCATATGCTGATGATCTCATCATCCTAGCTCCAAATGCTGCGGCTCTTCAAAACAAACTCAGCTGTATCGCCGCCTCGCTGGAGCTGGCGGGATTATCGATCAACGTCGACAAAAGCCGCACAATCAACATAGTCGCTGACAGACAGAGTAGAATCGTTGCCCTTTCTCCTACTGTCTTCAATATCAACTGCCTGTCAATTCCAGCCATCTCGCCAACAGAGGAATTTACCTATCTGGGTGTTCCCTTCAATTACAAGGGCAGGCGCTGCTTCGATCATGTCGGCGTCCTCAACAAATACTTAGACAATGTGAAAAGCGCCGCCCTTAAACCTCATCAACGAATGAGAATCCTGAGGAACAATCTGATTCCTCGTCTACTATATTCACTGACTCTCAGCATCACTCACAAGAATACCCTGAAAACGATGGACAAACTTATTCGTGCAGCTGTCCGCCGCTGGCTTCACCTCCCGAAAGACACTCCAACTGCATTTTTCCACGCGGATATCAAAAAGGGAGGCCTGGGAATTATGAATCTCTCAACAACGATTTCGATTCATGGGCGCAAAAGAATCGAGGCATTACTCAACAACAGGAACCCGCTCATACGCAGCATCGCGTCCTCCGAAACCTTCACACCTTTTCTTAGGATCTGCAACCTTCCGATGCAGGCCCACAGACAAATAGTGACATCAATAGAAGAAGCCCATGAAAGCTGGGCACAACAGCTACACTCATCGGCGGATGGTTATGGTTTGACTGAGTCAACAAAATGCCCTGAATCTCACAAATGGCTTCTCAACCCCGAAATGGTCTTGCCCAAACTCTATGTACGAGCCGTTCAACTGCGTGGAGGCCTCTTGGGCACAAAAACGAGAAGTAAGCGTGGACGTCCTAGAACGGACATCAACTGCAGAGGCGGGTGTGGTCAACCGGAAAATCTTCAACATATTCTTCAGCATTGCGCTCCAACTCATGACGTCAGATGCAAGAGACACAACTACGTCCTCAAGTTGATCGCTAACAAATTGTGCAAAATGAATACCAGATTTAACGTCGAGCCATGTGTTCCAACGCCCACGTCTTTCTGTAAACCTGATCTGATTATCTTGTTAGACGGAGCAGCATACATTCTCGACGTAACAATCTGCAGCGACGCCTTCATTTATATCAGCCATGCGTCGAAGATGTCAAAATACGGAACTCCAACGATGGTTGCTGCATGCCAACGGTTCCTGTCTGCAATGGGACATACAGTTCAAAGAATCTTGCAAATTCCTGTTGTAATCTCTTATCGAGGGATGATCAGTCAACTCTCTGCAAAATACCTTCGCAGACTGTTTTTCACCTCCTTCGACATTTCGAACCTCTGCATTTCAACCATCAAAGGCTCTTTGAAAATCTATGATACTTATATGCGTGGAACATATAGACTCAGACGTGGAAGACAATTGAACCAATGATGTTGTAAGTTTATTGTCATATCAAACTACTCTGTGAACGTTTACTGTACTACCATCTGTTGTAATACACTGCGAGACAAATTGTAACACTCATACACATGTATACTCATTGAACCTATATTACTGTTATGAACTTCCTAAAATACGTGACAATTTTGTTTATTCTATATCTTCTAATTGCTCCACACTATGTACACGCAAAGAGCATATTGTCCTTATAAAACTCTCCGATGTTAAAGACTATTGCTACACACAACTCGCTGATATCCTATGATTCACATATGTAAGCAACATCCAAATGCTCAAAATTGAAAAGATTCTTGTATTACATTTAATGATTTCATAGATATTAGATATTAAAATCATACTTCTGCACCACATATGAATGTCTCACATGGACACATGACATGAACAATCACACATAAGAATACATAAAACTGATAGTCTTGCAGTAAAAGTACATATTATTGGAAATAACATGGGCTGCTGTGCAAATTTTCTTCTATTTTTCTTTCTTTCTTTTTTTTACAATTATGTAATATTAAAGAAATTTTCCATGTATTTTTGTGCGTGTACTCAACTTGAATATTGTAAAAATAGTCCATTCGTTTCCGCGAATGGACAATTTTTATTTAATATTCGAAAATAAATATGTTATATACACTCGGGTACTTCATCCAAATTTTTCCCCCAATCCTCATTAGTCTTGTCCTTCACTTCTCTTCCCTGTTGCGCGTGCGTTTACTCACACTGTATTACCTACCTTCACAGGTTTTTCCTGCCCAACCTTTCATTTGTTTTGTGTATTCACTTTGTCCAACTGGGAAGGTGCCCTGAGAAGCGAAATTCAGAAATTCCAGTAGTGCTACTATCCAGCCACATACAGGATACTTCTCTCGAAATAAAGCAATGTATCCCTGATTATTGCGTTCAGCAGAAATGCAAAAGTGGAGGGGACAAACTGCTTTGGAACCTGTGCAAAACACGGGGCTGTTCACGGACAATTAGTAGCAGGCTAGGAAAACTATTTGGTAACCTATTCACTTAGCAAAATAATCATCAAACAAATAACCACAAGAGCGTTATAGAGTCCAAAGAGAGCAGGTGATACTGAACCTGTGCCTCGTAAGCAAGTGGGGCGGGGAAGCTTTGTCATTCAATGGAAAAAAGAAACCTAGCAGGCAGTGAAGAATTCGGACACTTATTTACTGCCTGAGTTGTGAGTCCTTTGAGATATAGAGACCCTACATTCACGAGGTTTATAAGAGGTGATGAAAAGGATACTGGATGAGGAGCAGTGGGTTCGGCATATATTACTATGATATCGTCTACTGAGTCTGCCCTTCAAGCTGAGTACAAAATTAGTACGAAAAATAATTTTTGGTTTCGAGCTCAAAGTCTTCGTGGTCTCAGTATTGATAGCTGCACATTAAGGGAAAGATTGTGGATATCTTGGAACCTGGTTATTTAGGCTGCTTAAATGGCTCTGACCTCGTTTCTTATCGGCTTCAACTCGAAGCAACTCTCGTGATTATGGTCTTCAGGAGCGCTATCAATTAAATCACTAATGTCCGCTAGAACCTCTGCGGGCAGTGCGGCTAAAACACATCCATACTTCGCGATATGTGACTTGATTCCGCGGGTAGCAAAGAGGGGTTCGATGATAGCAAACCAAATCCGCGGCTCAATCAAACCAAATGGCGGTGGACGCAGATCGACTATTGCATTGATTGGTGAGTCTTGTGCCTTATTAGTCTCAGTTGCAGCAGGTGAACGTGTAGGTGAGGACATGATTATTATGCGAATATACAGGTACACAGATATAGATATATAGAATGTGCAGTCAAAAATAAAAATGATAACAATATAAATATAGAGTTTTTAGAAAGCTAAGATGTTCAGACGGGCTCACCAATTAATTTGTCGGGGACTGTTTAGAACCAGTTCATTAACATAACAAATATGCGAATAAAAATCGAAGTCAATGAGAGTACAATGCAACAATAAATTATCAAAACGCAGTAATGAGTTATATTAATTAATAGGTTACTTGGATATGTTGTTAAAGTCCACTGCTACAAATTATTTATATAATCCACAGAAGCATCGACTGTTGGAATCGTGTCTACTGATAGAAGCTGTGTTCCGGTTGTAGACTTTATCTTTGGATAAGGATGATAGATTCCTGCAATAAATCCAAAGTAAAGAACACGGTTTGAGTTGGGTGAGTAGACAGAAATGGCCAGAGAGAAGGCGGAGCTACCAACAGTATATTGTATTTCAAATTGTACTCGGAAGTTATATGTATTTAAACATAAATAGTTTTAAACAAGATTCATGTACAATGTTTCTGATTTCAACATCTGAACAGAAAGTGTACAATCATATGGTTAAGTACTCCACATATCTATCCTGCTAGACCTGAGCTGCGGCCACACTACCTACTTACTCATTAGCCTGTTCTCCATAGACTGGTGGACAGGTTGTTCTTAACATCTCTACAACTACAGAAGTGGGAATATAATTTTTGTTGCTGTTTAATTATGTGTTTATTAACGGTGGTATGAAGAGAGTACAGACATATACAATCACACCACGATGCGCACCTGCGCCCTTGTTCGTTGAAAACCAAATTGTCCTCAATCGGATCCAGTCACTGAATACAGAGGAATTCACCGTTGAAAGCGAAATGGATGAGATTTAATTGAATAGATGAACTTCCTTCATCCCATATAGACACTTAATGTCTGGATGAAATAATTGGTCAACTGAGGTGTGATTTACACTTACCTTCTACAAAAGAGTTCACTAAAGACAGTATACCAATACTTAAAATTACTAAGTAATAACTAAAGAATCTGAGGGTTGCAATCTCGTTGTCGTAAATATTTAGTGTTTCGGAGAACTCTGGCGTTTCATTACGTCACGTGAAGTTTGGTCTCGATAGGACTTTTGTAGGCGCGCTTTCAAAGTAATTGACGGTCGTAGCGTTAACTGGGCTGTCGGGAAAACAGAAATAACATAATGTACACGGAGGTGATGGTTTTTTGCAGGGGGAATGCAGAAGTGTTGTTTGCCATTTCTAAGTGGTAATTCCTGGCGAATATTTGACTGTGCTATGTATTACTGGTGTCTATAAAATACTTGTTGCCAGTGTAATATTGTTGTGTGCTGTGATGCGTTAAACCTAAATTTGAAACAAAACGTCACTTACACTTACTCATAAGAGTAAACATGGCGACATTGTATCCATTTGTATGTTGAAGATGTATGATGGTCTGTAAGTATCTATCCCAGTCGGTTATTTTTTTTTTCGGACCTGGGATATGTGGGTAAAAACGTGGGCACTTTTTCGTTTGTAACATGGGTAAAGTGGGAAAAAGTGGGCTATTTTCAAAAATGACATGGGCAAAGTGGGTTTTCATATGAAAACAAAGTAGCTTACGTTTTTGGTTAAAAAAAAGACCTAATGTAGTTCGATAACGCTAAACTCCACTACTATTATCGACCTAATCGAGGGTAAACTCTTTTCTGTGTGAAATCCAAGTGTGTAAGATCCAGCCTGTTTCTCTCCTGATCATGATGATCATGAACAGTTTGCTGAAGGCGTGTACAGGTCTGCGAGATTTTGTTCCATCTCTTCATCTGTATTAAATGACTGATTCTGTATATATATATATAATTAGTGAAAAAGCAACAGAAAGAAAAGCCTTAGTATGATGGGACTAAATGAAATTGCACCATACTCTGTTGTGTCGTAATCTGAATACAGCGATTGTTTGTCTGCAGTACGTACAACTATGTACTAGAAACTACCGGAGGGTAAACTCGTAATTGACGCATTCATGGGCCGATCCTTGCAAGTTCTCTACATGTTTTACGAAGTCTGTAAAGTACATCACTAGTCTTTTCCTTATAAAACTGGTGGCAGGTTAATACGGGAATTGTAGTCTCTTTTTATAGATGGGTACAGTAGTGGTCTCACTAGTGATTAGTACGATACTAGATTTTCCAAGCCTTTTCAGGCGATCTGGTCTTGTTACCATCTTCAAAAGAAACAAGGTAAGGTAAGTTGTTCCAGTCGGTTGCCTTATGGCTGCTGTGTACTTGTAGCTCTTTATGAAACTGCTCTTCGTTAGCTGGGACATTGTAAACAAAATATAGCAGTAGTCCTGGATTTAGTGTTCGACATCTTCCGGACAGATTTTGAAGTTACCTTAGCATTTTTTCTATCAATAGGGAACTCTCTCACCAGTCTTGGTCAATAGGATATTTTTTCTATTGCTTGTCATCCTCTTCTTCTCCAACCGTCTCATTTCCGTTTTTTCTGTATTGTTGTTCGACTATGTTTTGTGGCATATTAACCAGTGCTGCTACCATGCCTTAACGTCTGCTTAGATTTTCTGAAAAATGACGTTCATTCCATGATTCAAGCCTTGTTTTAGGAGGGACATGTCGACTTTCGCCCTTGACAAGTATGTTTGACGGATTTACTACGAACCAGATAAGAAGTGTCCATTCATTTGGTGCTTATTGATTTCTCTAAAACATTTAATAGTGTTTAGCTCACAAGGAAGTTTACAGGTTTTTGTGTTAAATGTAATACACAAGAGTAGTTTAAAGATTAGTAACGTGACAGAAAACAAAGAGTAAAGGTAGGTAAAGTAATCTCTGCGCTGGGACCGGGCACTAGTAAAGCCCTTTATGATATTGTACTAACACCTGTTTTATCCTAACTGGCTATTAACAAATTGTTGGGAGTGATTATGTCGTAATCCTTGTTATTTACAAGGGACGTGATGGCTTAAAGGATTATATATGATTACGTAAATGGATTGTCATTTCAGCTTGACTTGTGAGTCACTGATTCAGACCTTAACTTAGACAAGTTTGAATGGTCATGAAATAGCATACGTGGTACAGTAGGTGCCTCTTAATATCTGAAATACAAAGACGTATACGTATGAATTCAGTCCCCATTAATCTCACGGTAGAATTTATTTACTACCCCAAAGTTTGTGTATTTTTCCCCTATGAATAGGTGAGGCCTTAAATAATGATATGTCTAATGGGATATCGAATCGTGACGGATGTAATAAGGCAGAAAAACTGTATAGTTTATCATCTAGAACTAACCCTGACTAATCTACATGCTCTATTTTTAACCACTAAGACATGAGTTCGAGTTTATCTCCATCTACCAAGGTTTAGGCATCCAGGTAGATGACATAGGGTTGGAAAAGTATTAGGGGTAGTCGAACCGAAAGCTGGAATCAGTCTATGAAGTCCGACAGTCGAGTGGAACCATGTACCGAGGTGCAAGTTGCCTGGTTCGGGTCTTTGGGATACTAAGAGCCAATAGCTAGAGACTTTTGGTGAGATAGCTGAAAATCTTTCTCAGTTGTAGTAGATACATTCACCCCTTGTGGTCTCTCATATCAATTAAACCCTATTGTTTTTCTATGTTGTTATTCTTTCTTCTTCAATTTTCTGTTTTTTATCGTTCTTTTGAATCTTTGTGTACTAAATGGAGTGTAGCAACTTGAACTTCTGTGCAGAATTCTCTGTTTAAATTCATTCTTTCAGTCAGTATCATTAGCCCTAGCACAAAATGAGTGTATGGCTCATTACCGACCTCATGAAAGTACAGCAATAATATTTCCTTTTAGCAGATATTTATATGTCGTACATTGAGAATTTATCAGAGGATTTAATCGAAAATGTGCCACTTTATAGAAGGTATGTAGATGATATTGTAATCATCAGTGATAAGTCTTGTTCTGCGACCTAAATTTTAAATCGAATGAATGAAGTTCAGAATAGCATACCACTTACGTCTGTAGAAGAGGATGATAATTATTTATCTTTCCTAGACATATTGCTTAGTCAACGGACGGCTTGATGTGTCAATAAAAAGGTCTATTTATAGAAAACCTACCTGGACAGGACAGTATCTTAATTACCACAGTTTCTGCCCTATTCGGTACAAAAGAGCCTAAGTGAGCGAGGTGCCTCTTCAGTAGAATCCAACGAATATGCACTGAAGACACAATTGATGATGAGGAAGAAAGAAAGTTGACACAAACTCTGGTTGATAACAATCATCTAGACAAGTTCATCAGGAGATATAAAGTAGTCAGAACACCAAGACCCACTCTCCAACTCGCCTCTAAAAAAGACGTGTACATCAAGCTACCCTATATGGGGCATCAAAGCAGCTTGATAACTAGACAGAGATTGAACACCGCTGCTGTTAAAAAGACTTTTTATGCAGCTAATATCATAATAATAATTGAGAATGTGAAGCCAATATATCCACCATCTAAGTCCTTTGAACATGCGAAAAATGATGTCACATCCCACTGTATTTACCAATTTGAATGTACGTGTGGACACACATACATAGGGAGGACTCATCGATCTCTGCAAGTGAGAGCTGGCTTCAGAGCATATTCCTAAATGGCTCCAGAAACAAATGGAATCCCCAGAACCTATTAACGGTGAGAACAGGAGACCTAGCTCTTCTATTGCGAAACATATTATAGAGACAGGACATAAAATTGACGTTAACAGATCTTTTAAACCTATCTATAAAACGTGTTTGGGGCGTATCCTAAAGTTTGTGGAAGCCCTAGCAATTAGAAAGTTTAAGCCACGTTTATGTGTTCAAAAACAATTCGTCATCACAATAAACCTTCCTTGGTAAACTTTGTTTTGATACCATCCAGAGTAGATGTACTATTACCTCTGTTATTTGGTTTAGTGATGATCTTCATTGTTATTTTGACCTTGAATATGTCATTTTAACTTGACCTAAGTAGTCTATTTTCTCTCCTCTTAACTCTTTATTAATTTCATATATATGCAGTCCTATGACAAGTCCGTGTGTGCTGGATCAGATTGTTTGAAATGTGTTGCGCAAATTACACGATTCAGACAAATTACGTCTTCTTATTGCTTTATCTAAATATTTCCTTTCCCAGATCCATATAATGTTTTTTAAAATTTAAAACTCTGACATGCTGTCATATTGATAACTGTGCATATTTTCTCTTCAATTAATTTTAGAATCCCATCTGTTCATTGTGAAAGCTATGGTGAATTTCTGACCAAAATACCTATTTGTGTTCTGCGTGTGTATTTCTAATTACACACACACACACACACACATCTAAACGTATATAGACAGGCGGAAAATGTCAGACAGTCGGTGTATTTTTACTGGCAATCAAAAGGCAAAGGTTGTTCGAATAATACTCTAACTACTTTTTGTATTTTTAGTGTTGTAATGTTTCATCATGGATAAGAAGTAAAATTAAAGATGAAGGTGTACAAGCACGAAATATAATCAAATATAGTGTACCTGTTGATAATCCTAGTCCTTGTGAGTTTTATCATGATATTTTTCATATGCTCAGTTTTACCTTCATAATCTTTAATCAGTTGTCATTTGTTTTTTTTCTTGGCTACTTGCCAAATTTCGACAGTCCTAATATATGTTAGTTTGCAATTATTTATTTTTGTGCACTAATATGGCGACAAAATACACAGTCCTCTGAATCCCTTAGGCAGAAGTCTTGGTATGTTTGGTATTTTATTCACCCTTGTCAGGACTGATCTGCATCGACTCGTAGTTTATAGACAAGGAGTGAACTGGTTGAGCAAATTAACCAATTCACTTATTAGGTAAGTTGCATTAACCGTGATGGATTGATTACTGACGAAATCTCAGCATGGATACAAAAGGCTCGTGTGACATTTACCACCTTACGTCATCTCTGGCGTAGACATCATATCTGGTTATCCGTCGAAAGACGTATATACTGCTCAGCAGTTCGCTTTGTCCTCTATGGCTATGAGATATGGTCATTGGAAATAGATGACCTACAGAAGCTGGCTGTCTTTGAGCACAGATGTTAGAGTTCTGTCTCCTCTGTTAAGTGGTGTAACAGGATGTATTCTTACTTAGGGAGGACATGTCAACTTATAGGGTTGTGAGGGTAAATCAGTTGACATGACTGGAAGAAGTATTACACATGTCGAATCACCACCTTTCTCGTTGAGCAATATTAGCTGATGTAGGATTATGTTAGAAAAGAGTGAGGGGGTTCTCATCAAAACTTCACATCAATTTATGAAGTCTCCAACTGTTGGACTGAGCCAGCCACGTGAGGAGTTGAGGATTGTTTGGTTGGGATATTGTTATTATTATTGTTTCCTTTAGTTCCTAGAGAAACATAGGGCTTCAGCTGCACGTCTCCATTGCGTTCGCTTCTCTGCTAATGTTTTCACCTGGCTCCACGTCTGCTCACATGCTTTCATCTCCTCTTCGCTCGATCTCCTCCATGTCACCCTTGGACGACCAATTCGCCGCCTTCCATTCGGGTTCCACTCGAGCAATAGCCTGGTGTGTGATGTCACTTGATGGTTTGGTTTCTCAGAGCACGGCCACAAATTCACCTCCATTCCTTCCTGCATATTCGTTGCACAATTGGTTCCTGTTGGGTTGGTTCGCTCATTGCCAGAGATCCCTGTGGCTGATCTTTTCTGCCCGACCATCTGATCTTGAGTAGTATTAAGCAAAGATAGCTGTTGATGAAAGTTTGTAGTTTGTTCGAAGTGCCTTTCGTGACGCGGCGCCAAGTCTCTGATCCTTAAAGTATTACTGACTACATAGGAGTTGAAAATCCGGATGTTATTTTCCATACTGTGTAGTGCTGTTGATCTCCACACAGACTTGAGAGTAATGAAAGCTTGTCTTGCTTCCCCTATTCTTGCTTTTATATTCTCATCAGTTCCCGTCTGCCTGTAGTTGAAATGATGCTTCCCAGGTAGCTATGTAGGTGAAGGAGGTTGCTTCTTTCAGATTTCTCTCATTTATGCTGATTGTTGTCTGTTGTTGTTGTTGCTGTTGTCCAGGAATCTTTATCACCTCTGTTTTCTGTGTTTACCTGAAGGCTTATCTTTGATGCTTCTTCTGTGAACTTGTTGCTTTTCACTTGCATATCTTCCAGTTTGTGGGAAATCAGACATATATCACATCTGCGAAATCCAGACCTTCCAAGTTTTTTGTATGGGTTCATTTTATGCCTGTCTCCTCGCTGCCCGGCCCGCTGTCTGTCGCATTATCCAGTCTACCGCAATCAAGAAAATCATTGAAGATAGTAGGCAGCCAACCAGCCTTGTCTTACTCCCGTCTTCACTTTTTCGAAGGATTCCGTGAGTTTCCCGTTGTGGATTACTTGTCGTGCAGCATTGCCGTACAACTGTTGGATGAGATGTATAATATTTGGCGGCACCCCTTGGTAGTAGCGAAGTAGTTGCCAAATCACCTCTCGATCGACGCTGTCTGTCGAAAACCTTTTCAAAGTCAATGAAGTTGAGCGAGGTAGAGAGCTGACTACCATTCCAAGCTAGCTCTGTTCAATGATGATGCGTAGTATTGCGATTTTATCGATGCATGACTTGTTTTGCCTGAATCCAGCCTGTTCCAGTCAAAATCCATTAAGTCCTACCCTGAAACTCGCTCAGTTAGTCAGTTGTATTAATATGTCGAGAATTTAGTTCATTAGTGTAAGTATCCAGCCTCAAATAGGCTTTGAAATTAGTTCCAAACAGTCAATGTATGAACATCATAGTGTATTTCATACATCATGCTGAGAATCCGCTTCTTAACTTATATCCTAAATGGGAGTTGCATTTGTGCAATAATTCTGGAAGAATGTTTAAAATATTTATGCTTATCTACAGGTCTATTCAAAGCATCTTTCGGATGTAATTCTAAGTGAACGTTACTCAGAGCTGTTAATTTTTGCCTCAATAGGTTGATTATGTGTACATTTTCGTTAGCTCAGCTCTAAAGTGTGAAAAATGCAACAAAACATTTCTTGACCTACAGTTATGCTCTGATAAGCACTTTATTATTACCAAGAACCTACTTCCAACTTAAAGAAAGTTATTCTGTCACCTACCTAGTAGATGCCAACATCAAGTTATGTTTGTAAAAAATTATATTTGTAAAATCTCAGCGAGATTGAAATGAGTAATTCCAACGTTTCGTTCGGCAATCTGGTCCGAACTTCTTCAGGGAAACTAATCGAAATTAACATAACAGGGGTTTATATATAAAAGGAACATCACTTATTTTTGAAGAACTTCGTCCAATCATGAGTCATTCAACAAGTATAATAAACAAAATTTTATGAGCTGTGATCAAAATTTGACCTCGGACTTACAAATATTGCTCTAACTTTGTTAAACACATTAAACAGAGTGTGTATGTGTGTGTGTGTGGGTAAACAGTTGTAAAACATTTCTTAACGTTTCCATAAGAAGATATGGACAGTCGAGAATTTTGACCAAGTACTAATAATTAGTGATACATATCCATTTTTATTTATTAATAAGGATTTCCTATGCATCAGCCAACATCACGCCTTCATGTCTGTTCACACTGTTAGTATCTAGAATTTTATGATTAGACGTATTTTCAAAATTATGGTGTTTAGGATTGGAGTTTAGTAGAAGCACCCTGTCGAACTTATTGCATTGTCTTCTTTCTGAAGATTGAGCTGCTTTATTCGACCTAATGGAGTTGTCAGGTGACTCGACAGCTACGGATTTAGGATATGCATTCTGTTGTAGACAACGGAGAGCGAAAACACGATGATCTTCACGATAATCATAAAATTCTAGCTACTAACAGTGTGAACAGACATGAAGGTGTGATGTTAGCTGATGCATAGGAAATCCTTATTAATAAATAAAAAATGGATATGTATCACTAATTATTAGTACTTGGTCAAAATTCTCGACTGTCCATATCTTCTTATGGAAACGTTAAGAAATGTTTTACAACTGTTTACCCACACACACACACATACACACTCTGTTTAATGTGTTTAACAAAGTTAGAGCAATATTTGTAAGTCCGAGGTCAAATTTTGATCACAGCTCATAAAATTTTGTTTATTATACTTGTTGAATGACTCATGATTGGACGAAGTTCTTCAAAAACAAGTGATGTTCCTTTTATATATAAACCCCTGTTATGTTAATTTCGATTAGTTTCCCTGAAGAAGTTCGGACCAGATTGCCGAACGAAACGTTGGAATTACTCATTTCAATCTCGCTGAGATTTTACAAATATAATTTTTGACAAATGTCTACTTCTCACTCGGCGCCCAAATATTTTAGAACTATTCTGTCAAATCTTGACGACAGTTCATTTGAATCAAGTTATGTTGTTGTGCATTGTCGTTACAGAAGACAATTATATAAATCTAAGTGGTAATAGAGCATTTACGTGAGCTTAGATCATGCTCTTGTACATAGCACAAATAGGTGAGCAAAAATTGATTAACTATGTGAGGATGGGACATCAGAGACCCTACGTAGGTTTCTCAATAAAGCAGGAATTAGGGTGGTAATTCAAACCTCCTACAAACTCTGCCTTAAAAGACTTCGATTAATGAACACGTATACAGGAGGTTCGCTTGGCATATGCCAACTCACGCTATATCTGGCGTAGATGTGATATCCGGCTGGCTATTGACCAGAGGGCTTGTGTAGTGCTCAGCAGTCATTTCGCTCTGTCCTCCTTTATGGCTGGCTGTGAGCGAGACATGGCCATTGGAAGTGGAAGATACGAAAAGGCTAGCCAACTGTCTTTCACCGTAGGTGTCTGCGTTTTATCTCCCATGTTAGGTGGTATAATAAGGTGAGCAATATTTAGGTTAGGCATCGGTCGAGTGCTAGGTAGGTGGGTAGGAGAGAAAATCAGTCGACGAGGTTGTGAAGTTACACCGATTGAGAGAGATGATTAGGACATGTGTTACGCATGCCTAGTCTAGACTAGTCATCGTCTTTCTCGATCAACGGGCATTGTTGACTGATATAGGATGGGTCAGGTTGGAAAAGAGTTAGCTAGTGATGGCCAAACCAAAACATGGCTTCATCAGTCAATGAAATTCACAACAGTTAGTTTAAACCAGCCAGCCGCCATGTAGCGAGGTGTAGACTTCCTGGCTGGCTGGTTGGGGTCCTCGGGGTTCTATCAACCGACCAATGAAGGCTAGAGACAATTGGTGATATATCTTGAAATCGTTGTTAATGGCTGGTGCAGATGCATCGTATCTAAAAAACTCCATTGTTCTTCCATATTACCATTGTTTTTGACTCGCATTTCTGTTTATTATCTCTCTTTTGAACTTCTCTTTACTCTCTTCTCTTGCTTTGTGTGGTACATGGAGGGAGTTTGGCAATTTGAACTGCTGCACATCTGTGCAAAGTTTTACGTTAAAACTGGTCAGTCAGTCGGTCTTAGAAATGTGTTTCAAGTGGTTAGATGTTGCATATAAACATATTTTAAGTTATTATTTACTAGATTAGTTGTTAAAGTAGGCAACATTTAATTTTGTGAATCCCAAGTGTAAATATTAACTCATATACACCATAGTATTGAGGTGTCATGCATATAGTATGCTACCTTTTCAATTATTACCTACCCCCTTTCACATAACGCATACTTTAAATTTTTGTTTACAATAATCCTTAACCTTTTGCTTTTTAGCTAAACGTCAAACACGAAAATGTGATTTCAGTCTGTCTTCATCTGAAATTGTTCCAAAGATGATGGCTGATGATACAGAGAATGACATAATGACCTCGACAAGTATTGTATCTTCACATAAAGAAGGCGGAAGTCGTCGATCATCCTTATCTTCTATTGTCGACATTCCGGAAATCATAAACAATAGGATTAGTCTGTATACGAATAAATTTCATGAAGAACATTCAAAGTCTGATGCACATTCTGTCAGTTTAATATCAAACACCAACTCGAAAACTGTTTGCCCAGCACAATCTCGTCATTGTCGGCGGCTTACTTCAACAACAAAACCAACAACAGCTCTATTATATAGGAAACCTCTCACTGAAAGTGAATATAAAGCACGTTATTGGGGTCAAATGTTAGATACTTTAAGGCGAACTATAGATGAGATCTATTCAGCGTGTGAAACTGACGAGAATGAAGTGGAATGCAAGGTGAGCAATTTTTACTGACTTATGTGTATGTAATATTGTGGTGAGAGCTGGCTGCTAGCCAAAGTTGGTAGACAGTAATTTACGTCAATGTGTTTATGTCCCCAATATTGGTCGTGAGAAAAACAGGAACAAAGACTTTGCGTAGGCGGATACAGTTAGCATATAGATGATCTGTTGCCTGACCCTTGTCTTCTGTTGTTACATTTGGTGTCGCTGCCTACCGACAAATGGAAAGCCTTTGCCCTACAGTTTTCAATGGAGACATATGGATCTTCGGGCAGGACTTCGAGGCTTCTGCGCAGTTGAGTGGCTTTCAAGATCTGTCGGCGATGAAGCTGCTACTTGGGACGCTGCTGGAAGGTCGGGAGAAAGCAGCATATGAAACTGTGAGGCGAAATACAGACGAATGTGCGACAGGGGCAGGCAAATAGCCTCCAAAGTGGGAAGGACCACATATGGTCACGTTGAGATGGGGTTACGCAGACACAGTCGCAATGGTAAACAAAGAAACAGGTGAACAGCAAGCGCCGAGATTCCAGACAGCAAGAAAAACGAGCAAAGCCCCTAGAACCAAGAAGACCAAACCAACTTCAGTCGCAAGTCTTTGACGAGGGGATGAGTGTGGTGAGAGCTGCCTGCTAGCCAAAATTGGTAGACAGCGATTTACGTCAATGTTTATGTTCCCAATATTGGTCGTGAGAAAAACAGGAACAAAGACTTTGCGTGGGCGGATACAGTTAGCATATAGATGATCTGTTGCCTGGCCCTTGTCTTCTGTTGTTACAGTATGATATATCTTGTCTGATAAGCGGCTATTTTGTGATTATCCTCACCCTAAATTATACCTCACTCACATGAATTTCTGTTGTGTTTTTGTTTTTTTGTTTTCAGGAAGTTATCATGATCCTGGAACACAGTAAACAAGACTTTTTCTCATTAATTGAAAAAATGAATTTACTACGGGATTATGAACAAGCTGATGAACAAAATAAGTAAGCCTGTCTATTTTATATTACTGATTAAAACACAAAGGTGATACATTGTGGGGGGGGGGACTACACAATGATGTGCGCTACACAAAATCTCATAGTCTGTCCGAGGGCTAGGATACTACCCGGATGTTCAGGCCGAAGCAAGTGGTGGTTGTTGTCTTTAGGGGAGGCAGCTCCCCGCGAACCTTTCACATGAAGTCTGATCCACTAGGTAGTGTAACAGAGTCAAAGAACTACATTCCCATCATTTGTTGTGACAAAAATAGGTTGATACAACATTCGATCTGGTCGGATTCTGTGTAGCCTATGTACACCATAGACGCAGAGACTGCGGCAGATGTGTGCTCACGCCATTATTGCAAAAGGTTTGGAAGGAACGCATCGTCATCGAACAAAGTATAGAAGGGCAGTCAAACCTCTCCCTATCTCAACTTTATCGACTTCGAAAAGGCCTTCTACAGCTTTGACCGATACATAATTTGGAAACTACTTCAACACTACGGCGTGCAGTGCCCAAGTCTTTGTCAACCTCATTCTACAATTGGCAATGACAATGTCACGTGTCAGGTGATCCACAACGGAAAACTCAGCGAGGCGTTCGAAGTGCATATAAGAGTAAGACAGGGCTGTCTATTATCACTGATGATATTCTTAACTGAAGTGGACTGGATTATGCGTCAGACTGTGGGTAATGAGGAGACAGGAGTACGCTGGACCTCCGATGAGAAGACTCTAGAAGAGAGAAGAAGAGAATTAGCAACAAAAAACTCTAAACCAATTGCTCAACAAATATGTAGGAGCAAATGGAGATGGATAGGGTATGCGCTGAGGAGGCTGTTGAATGACATCGCGTGCCAGGCCGTCGCTCAAGTGGAACTCGAATGGGAAACGACGAGTGGGTCGTCGGTGCGAGGATGACACGGAGGAGATCGTATGGGGAGGAGGAGATGAGAGATTATGGGCAACCGTGGACCCAGCTAAAGAGGACAGCAAAAAATAGAACAAAGTGGAGATGTGTTGTTAAAGCCCTGTATTCCCTGAAACTAAGGGAATAATAGATGTAAATGTACACCATAGGTTGGAAATCAGGGTAAACCTGGATGCCCACCACTATGGTTGTAAGTTCTCGACATTAGCATTTGTCCTTTCACTTATATGAAGAACCACCCTTGTTGTGTAAAGGCAATGATGAATAGGACTTAACCTGGTAGAGGCTATGAACATGTGACTACTTGAGAGCATTTCAAAAAGCAGACTTAAGTCTACTCATGGTCGACTGTACGAAGTCGTTTATGGGGATAGCTCACATTGAACAAACTCATCCCAGCCTCTTGCAAGACCAAAAGGGCATGCAGTATCATCCTGTGGTTCAACCACTCGAAAGCTCTGCCCTATCCTCCTAGAAGCATTTATTTTGGTATAATGTTTAGATTTTACTTCTGTGATCCTCTGATCTTTCAGTGATATGTATTAGTTTATCTGCATAACTGAGTCTATTTTCCTTTGCACACATACACAAAATACAATCAGTATTTGGTATTGATGGAAAGCGTCTGTAATAATATGCGTTTACTAAACATTTGTGTGCGTCGGTGACACAGCGGTTAGGACGCTCGCCAACCATGCACATGGTCCGGGGTTCAATCCCCGGCCGGCGCACTCCTTTACCTCGCTAATCCAGAAATAATGCTGGTGAAGAGGAAGGGTTGGGCGTTAGGCTGGCTAGCAACCTCATCCTGTAAAATTAACCACTGCTACAGAAACTTCAAGCCACTAGCTTGAAGGCGCCATATTTTCCACTGGGAACGTGAAGGAAAGAAAAAAAACTAAACATTTGTGGGAATATGAAGATTTCTTAAGTTTAATTTCTGTGCAACTCATCGTTCTCAATCTCTGTGGCCTATATGGTGTTGAGTAGTATTCATTCCTTGGAACTACTTGAATTTGAATTATCTTATGAGAATGTATATCAGGAGTTTTATGAAATTATATGACTGTTTAGCATTTTGATACATGTTTGCTTTCTGTTATGAGGTGTATCAACTGAAAGAATTACGCAGTAATGTAAAGCATTCAACTTCCAGGTACCACCGGCTCCTTCAGTCTGAGCATTTGAGTGTTATCACCAGCTCTCGCACAATATGTATGCGAGTCATAGCTTTGTAACTAATTTTAACCAACCAACCAAACACACAGTAGTGGCAACTCCAATTATGAGAATGTCCTTTTGCCTTTCTGTTAGATGTACTCAAGGTTTCCACGTTGTTCCGTGGTTCGTGGCAGTCGGCAGTAAGCCTTGCATGACGTAGTTGACGTCGTGATTGTTAGCACTCATCAGAAAAGCGTATCTGAAATTTTGAAGAGAGAGTCGTGTCCTTTTTGAGATTCCAGCCCTGGTCACCCCGTGCTGCAGTTTTCACAGAGCTATTAAGCCTCGCGACTAAACTTTTTATAGGACTGTAACGGATGCTTTCATTGTACGCTTGGTAGTTTTATGCGTCTAGTTCTTCGCTAGGCTGACAGACTGAATCCTGTCAAATAAGTTTGCAATGTGGCACACCATGCTAGGCGGCTCGCTATCAAAAAAGACACACTCTGAATTGTTGTTAGGTGATTGTAACTGTAGCTTTGAATGCGCTTTATTTATTTGAGTTTCGTAAGTTATAAAACACACGAATTATTGTGCGATATTCATAAACGCCTGATTTCTTGTAAATTTTCGATTAGAAATATTGTTAATTCTGTAAAACTCTTATGAGAGTATTTGTGAATTAATATGTGTTTGTGGGGTTCCCCGATTAATTTCCGAGGCATGCTCCTTCCTTACCAAACGAAAAAAACAACAACCAGTTTTCCTGGAAACTTATCAACTAAATTTCAATCCCGTCTTGATTACTGCATATCTTCTAGATAGATTTCTAAAGTTTTTGATGAGAACATATGTATCATTGGGTCTACCAAGCCGCAAGTATGAGAACACTTATACCCCAGCAATGCTGGATTGTAGCTGTGCTGTTACACAAATCACCAGGAGTCGTAAATGATAATGTGATCAGATCATGGTTTCTCTGGGCTAAACGAGTTCTAAGCTGTTCACTGTGATCCATTTTTAATGAGTATCGATGGTGTTTTGGATCCCCCCTCCCAATCGGGTTCATTGTATAGTTCATTTTACGAGTTGATCACGGATTGATATCACAACTAGAGAACCGTTGTAAACCAGCCACAGGGAGTACTGGACAGCTAGCTGTTTCATCAGCCTAGTTTGGGAATCATAGACAGTACGCACCCACCGCCAGAGTTCGAACCCAGGACCTCCCGGTTACAAGGCAAGCTGGGATACCATTAAGCCACCGAGACCCGATTCAATAGCCATTCTATGAATTCCAACTTCTACCAATTCGTGATTTTAGCCCGAACACCAACCATTGTCGTTGGTGGGACATCCATCCTCACACTTGACTGAATGGACCTCACTGGTCACGACTTCTCACTAGAACTATGGGAAACTTCGTCCTGTAGCAAGTTACTAGAGAGCATCAGACTCCCAAACTCGTAAAAACAAAACTAACCCTTACAAACCAAACTATAGGGAATAAATCTGATGCTCTCTAGTAACTTGCTACAGGACGAAGTTTCCCATAGTTCTAGTGAGAAGTCGTGACCAGTGAGGTCCATTCAGTCAAGTGTGAGGATGGATGTCCCACCAACGACAATGGTTGGTGTTCGGGCTAAAATCACGAATTGGTAGAAGTTGGAATTCATAGAATGGCTATTGAATCGGGTCTCGGTGGCTTAATGGTATCCCAGCTTGCCTTGTAACCGGGAGGTCCTGGGTTCGAACTCTGGCGGTGGGTGCGTACTGTCTATGATTCCCAAACTAGGCTGATGAAACAGCTAACTGTCCAGTACTCCCTGTGGCTGGTTTTGAATAGTTCTCTAACTGATATCAAACCGTGATATCATATTTCTCGTGTTATTTTCTGTTTTCTTCCTGTTTTTTTTTCAGACCAAATTCTCTTGCATGGGATGAACGTACTACCCTACCAGGAAAACCAATTATGTGTCAAGTTCTTGCCTCTACTGCATTCGCCTCAGTCAAAAAACCATCCTATCCATCAATTCCATCAATTCAATTCAGTAATAAATCAGATAGCAGTGTCATAGAGATTGTAGATTGTAGTGATTCTGAATTCTTCGATGGGAATGATAGATCGGGTAGCAATTCTTGTATATCAGATAGGAGATGTAAATTGCTTAACGCAAAAAAGAACAATAATAGTAATAATCGTAATAGTAATAGTAATAATAATAATAATCCCAATGGAGAAGAAGACGAAGATAATGAAGAAGAAGAACCTAGTAGTCTTTCTCGGCCTTCTATGATACCTTCTCTTCCAAACGATTATGAATCATGTAAACGAGTTGGCGCCAAACGAATTCATTGTAACTCGGAGTTACAGCAAACTACTACTTACAATAATAGTAGTAGTGGTGGCAGAGATAAATTCAAATTATGTTCTACAGGTCTAGACAATCAAGCGTGTCATGATAACGATGGTGATGAAGAGGAAGTTGACGCGTACACTGCTGATTTATCTATGTGTAGAACTACTGATGAAAATGATACTGTCGACATAGAACATGATCATCACCGTCATCATAATCATCAGGGAGAGGATATGACTAGATATACATATTTAGTTGATGATGATGTTGACGATGAATACGCTGATCAAGAGGATAATACACTGTCACGTGATTTAGAAAAGCTGGACAAGGTAAGAATTTATTTTAAAAAATAGCATATTCAATATAACTGAACATATATATATATGTTTCCAAGCTTGTTTTATGCTTTAAGTGATATCTGCAAGCTCGCCTTGTAGCTAGAAGGTCCTGGATTCGAACCCTGGAGGTGGGTGGGTGCGTATTGTTGAAGGGTCCCGAGCTAGGCCGATGAAACAGCTGGTTATCCAGTACTCTTTCCAGATTTTCCAATGGTCCTCTAACTGATATCAGCTCATGATGAAATCCTGCAACCAAATGAAATGCTCACTAGCGACTGGCCCTATTCAGGTAGGTAGTTAGTTACCTGGGGTTCTAGTGAGAAGTCGTCACCAGTAGGGTGCAGCAGCAGGTCAGGTGTGAGGACAAATACTCACCGAAGACATTAGCTAGCGGTTGCGCTATATCGTGAATTGGCAGAAGTTAGAATTCATGAGCCATCGGATCGGGTCCCAGTGACTTAATGGTCTACGACCTCGCCTAGTAACAGGTAGGTCCTGGGTGCGAACCCCGGTGGTTATATTATGCGCTCTCTCTGATGACCCAAGTGGCCCAATGGCTAATAACACTGGTGTGTGTGTGAATTCATTGGTGCCTAACTCGAGTCTTAGCAGGCACACTACCATTAATATTGGAAGTCTAAATGCATCCGGATGATGAGTCTCAAGTAGGACGAAATGCGCATCCTGGATTCCGCTACTTGCTAGTAGTCACCATCCATCAAATGAGAAAATAATCAAATTTCTTTTTACATATGTTAAGTTGAAAAAGTCTCTTTTCATCATTTCAGGCATTTTCAGTCTATACTGAATTGAAGTAGAAGGAGCGGGATTCGAACCCGGCGCCCATCAGTTGAAAATTTAGTGCTAAAGCTCAAAGAGCCATATAATTGGATAAAAAAATGTTCAGTATTATGGAAACAAATAAGATAACAGTGAATTAATTTCATATCTATTTTTGTTGTTATTATTATTACCATCAGTTTCTATATAAGACGACTATGCATGGTCTGGTTGCTAATTGCACGTCCAACCTCCCCTCTTTTTTCTGGACCTGTTACCGGTTAGTAAACCAGGCGACGAGGGTTTAGGAGTGTACGTCGGTCGGTAAAATGCTTGTCAGCCAAACTGGAGGTCAGGGTTGGTTTCCCGGTCGACTCACTGTGCGTCGATGGTTGAACGGTGGGCGTACCACCAAAAATATAACTAATTGTACCCTGATTTAGTTCACTGAAGGTGATTTTAATGCAGTTAAAAGTCGCCAACTTGTTTGATGTAATATTATGAAACAGATGGTGAAATGGAGGTGAAGATGGGTGATAGTCAGGAATGCATTGTGTGCTTATGGAAGTGTGTGTGGGATGACGGTTATTACATCATGGAAGTCGATTTCTCCTTAGAAGAGTACTCGAAGCAGAAGGAGCATATTAGTGCTGCGTGTCGACATAGTCCAGTAGACAAATTTTTAAGGCTTGTCGTACAAGTGTTTTTGGAGTTGCGTCCATAGTAAGATCTTACCACCAACTATGAGCCGCCTCAAGGTAAGTCAGCACGTACAATTCTCTTGGTCGAGCTTTTCTAACCCTCATCTTGAGAGCATAGAGGCAGCCTAGTCTGCTCGCTGTTGTGTTACATCCCAATTCGTCAGCACAACACAGTGTAAACGACTTACGCAATGATGGTAATTGCTTTTAGTCCAACCGCTATCCAATCAATCTTTCTGGCATTGTAGGATCTGCGAGAATATTCTTTCCAGGCAGTTTAACTCGCCAGGTCATTGTTACCCACAAGTAGTCTGACCATCACGTCAAGGCAGCAGCTATCGGTTGCCGGTGGTGGGGCTAAAATGAAACTATTACGGACAGAGATTAGCGAGAGAATAACTACATAGAGGATAACGAGGACCTTCCGAAGGTGAATTCGAAGTTAGGAGGTACGTGGTTGAACAACCCTCAACAAGTGTGTTCACCAGACATATAGATATTTACACTTAGTCTACAAGCTTTCATCAAAACTTGCTGCTAAGATCTTATCCGGCGGCATACTAATAAGATTCTAAAGCATACACAATCCACTGGTTAGGAATCAAATGTTCAGATATACAATAAAAACGATTCACAAACTTTATTTTTTGGAAAAGAGTGTGAAGGATGATCAGATCAGACCAAAATGTGGTATCAATTCATAAAGTCTTTGACTCTGTAGGGGAGGAGGGGTGTAAACTGCCTTGCTGGGCTCCTCAAAATGCATTTAAAAAAATCCCTGTCAATCAATCACTAATTCTCTCTATTATTCTCTTCTGTATTTTTTATAAAGGCTATTGAACATGTCACTACTGCTGAACGTGTACTGTCACACCAGTTAGACAGAGCTCAGTTAGCCGAGGCTGCTCTTCGTAGACGTTTAATTGAAGAAGAAGAGGAGAAGGCGGCATTTGTCCAATCCACTGGTTATAATCAATCTTGGTATCTTCATAGACATTGGCATAAAAATGGGGGTGGTAATAATAATAATACTAATAATAACAACAATAATAGTGGTAGTAATAAAAGTTTCATCAAACCTGCACATAATCAAAGTCATCACCTCAAGTCAGGGGATATTCATCGTCCATGTAATACTACCGATGAATTAGGCATTGATACAGACGCGGATGTAGTAGATATCGACAGTGTTACACTGGATGACGATGATGTTGACGAGGTTGATGAGTCAGAAAAACTGATTGTTACTACTACTACGACTACTATCACAAAGGAGAAAATGCCTACAAGTGTTACAAATCATCAACCCTTGAATTCTGCTGCTACTCTGCTGCTGCTGCTGATACTATTCAACCTGGATCAAATATTGATCTAGTTAAAAAAACAACTATCAATGCTGATTCTGAGAGGAAACATCAGCCCTGTTGTAATTGTCATTGTCATAACCAGAATTATAATAACGATATCTCCAACAGTCAGTGTAATAATGTGACTAGTGAAAATAAGACTACTACTGTTGAACAAGTTCCAAAAAAATCCACCTCTCAAAATTGTTCCCTGTCTAAGCCTAATTCATCACAATCTCAGTATTTAACGAACAACAAGACTACAACAATCACTGCGCATAAATCAGATATTCCTCTAACTGATATGCAGATAAATCAATCGGAAATCAATGCGGATGAGTATGGCTACCATAAGAGTTATGCAAAAAGTGAAGTATACAACGGTCAGTGTTTTACTTCAGTAAAATCAGGTGAGAATAAATAAATAAATAATTATCGTATTATTGTTCCTTTGGGTTCCTAGTGGAGCATAGGGCTTCAACTGCACTTGCTTCTGTCTTCTGCTGCACTTTTCACCTGTATCCATGTTAGTCCATACTGTTTCAACTCCTCTTCACACGATCTCCTGCATATCACCCTTGGACGTCCCACTCGCCACTTCCCTTTCGGGTTTCACTCGAGCAATGGTCTGACGCGTGATGTCGCCCAGCGGCCTCCTCAGCGAGTGTCCAATCCATCTCCACTTTCTCCTGCATATTTGTTGGTTGGCGATTGGTTCTTGTTTTGTTTATTCCCATAGTTTCTTGTTGGTGATTCTTTCCGGTCATCTGATCTTCAGTATAGAGCCAGCGAAGACAGTTGTTGATAAAAGTGTGCAACAAGCTGTTGGAAATATTCTTTGTGACACTCCAAGTTTCTGATCCGAACGTATAGAAGAACTGACTGACTTGATGTTTGTATTGAAAATCCGAATTTTGTTGTTGATGCAGAGTTGAGTGAGGGAGATTTCCAGATTGGTTTCAGGTTGATGAATGTGTTTCTCGCTTTTCCGATTCTCGATTTGACATCCTCGTCCGTTCCTTCTGTGGTTGAGACAATGCTCCCTAGATAAGTGAATGAAGTAACCTTATTCGAATCCCTCCCGTTGATGGTGATTGGCGCTGGATGTTGATGTTGTTGTAGTTGTTGGTTGGTTGGTTATTTTCATAACCTCCGTCTTGTCTATGTTCACCTGGAGTCTTGTCTTTACTGCTTCTTCGCCTAGATTACTAGCCGGTCCCAAGCCCGGATAAAGAGGGGAGGGTTGGGGCGTGGTGCTAGCAACTCCACCCCCAAAACTTAACCAAATTGCTACAGAAACTTCAACGCATAAATATATTAAAAATACTAAAAATATAAACAATAACCTTATTTTTCGCTGGAATCGGGGAAGTGAAATGACGCAGGCTGGTGAAAGCCTTCGGGAAGCCAGTCAGCCGATATGCCTTCTTTCGATGAAAGCAAAAATAAGGATGGGGACGTGGAATATTCGTACAATGTACGAAGATGGAAAGGCTGCCCAGGTAGCCGCAGAAATGAGAAGATATGGAATAGTAGAAGTGTTGGGAATCTGCGAGAGCAGATGGAACGGATGTGGAAGGTGCCAACTATCAAATAAATAAATAGTGTTCTTTATGTTTGAGTTTTCATCTGTAGAGGTTTGTATACATTGATTGGTATAATGTTGTTGTCTTCAGTAGTATCGTTACGAAAGAAGTGAAGTAAGTACTCTCTCTTCAGGAGAGTTTTGTGGATAGGTTGATCTATTTTCTGACGGAAATCCAGACTGATCGCTGCTCAGTTTTACTTATATTTATTTCCCTTAACTTTACAGTTCGGAGATTTTTACCACTGACGACCGGGTTATTATCTTTAGACCTGAGGCAGCTAAGAAGTGCGAATGCACCAGTGACTTTGGGAATATTTATAGCCCTGAAAGATAAATTCAATCGCCTAACACAACCCGAACCCTAATCTACGCCCATTTATTATATTATAATTATTCCCTTGGGTTCCAAGTGGGACATTGAGCTTCAGCAGCACATCTCCATTTCAACCTGTTCTCTATAGTCCTCTCTAACCTGGCTCAATGATTCCCCACATGATCTCCTCCACCTCACCCTCGGACACACCACTAGCTGATTCTTATGCGGCTTTCATTCGACGGCCTAGTCACATAGTGTCAGCCGATGGTCTCCTCGGCGTGTATGTCCAATCCATCTCGATTTTCTTCTACATATGTGTTGAACGATATGCTCGTGATTGGTTTTCTTTACCAGAGTTTCATATTGTTATTTCTTACTGGAGCTAGAGCTGGTCATCAGATCTTCAGTATGCAGCCATCGAAAGCAGCCTTTGATAAAAGTCTGAGGCGCCTGGTGGAAATGTTTTTCGTATTGTTCCAAGTTTCTGATCCATATAGAAGAATTGGTTTGACATTATTGTTGAAAATCCGAATCTTGTTCTTTATGCTAGCTGAGTTCAGGAGATCTCCACACTGATTTCAGAATGCTGAAAGTCTGTCTTACTTTTCCCCAACCTGGTTTTGATCTCTTCATCCTTTCCGCTGGTTGTTGTTTAATTGGTTTGCTAGTTCCCTAGTTTTCTAGCGTGTCCTAAGGCCTGGAAAAGTGAGGGGTGGGGGTCAGACACGAGGCTAGCGGCTCTACCTCGGAAAATCAGTCAAATGGCTACAGAAACTTCAAAGCATGACAGAAATATAAAATAATTTAATAATTCCCATTGCAGCATTAAGAGCACAATATTCTGGGAAGAGACTCTTTTCAACGAATTTATTATCAAGCTGTACAATCGTATATATATATTTTTACCTTCACGTTCCTCAGTGGAACATAGGGCTTCAAGCCAGTGGCTTGCAGTTTCTGTAGCAGTGTTTATTTTTACAGGATGGGGTTGCTAGCATCATGCCCAACCTTTCCTCTTCACCACCATTATTTCTGCTTTAACGAGGTAAAGGAGTGCGTCGGCCGGGGATCGAACCCCAGACCATGTGCATGGTCGGCGAGCGTCCTAACCGCTATGCCACTGTCTTTTTTAAAGAAATTATAGCTGGTGACGGAATTAAGCCAAAGGTGTGAATAAATGAAATAATAAGAGTATGAAATGCAATTAAAATATTTGTGATTATAATCATTGTTTAATGTCAAGTGGCAAAACAATCAATGTCATATATAGAATAATACATAAGGTGTATAGATTTTGGAAAGGGGTATATAATTATAGGAATAGTAGGCGAATATAAAATGTTACATAACATGGTGTGGAATTTGATAAGATACAATTCAATATTGTAAAAATAAAATAAAAGTATAAAAATTAATAATTTTGGGTTTAAAATGACAAGTGGGTCAAGTGGAAAAGATTCAGAGTGCGAATAGTAATAATAATAAAGATAATAATGATAATCGTAGTAATAAGGGAAGAGTACATAGAATAACTAAGTAAACAAAATAAATAAATGTCTATCCCTCTACGGCCAAGGCAGAAGTAGGGATTGTACATACTTCTTTTGTACACAAGGGTCTGGCTTAAAGTCATGAATTGCCAAGGTCTCCGCCGTCTTTAGAAGTCTGTAACGAAGAAAACGCGGGAAGTTAGCATGGATTCTATATATGATCTTAAAATCATGGTCAGGGTTGACAGAGTGACAGAAGTCGATCAAATGTTCCAGAATAGAGCTTCGCACACACTTCCTTTCTCCCTTGTAAAACCATACTGGAATACGTTCTCGTATCCGTGTGGGAAGCGTCCTCTGGCTACGGTCAGTATAGCTTGCTCCACAAGAGCAGGTCAACTGATAGATGCACATAGAGGCGGCCAGACGGGGGAGGTAGAGAACAACTTGCGGCTAGTGAACGTCATATGTAATTTAGCCGCAAAGAACGTCTTACTGACTGATTTACAGAGACAACTTTTGAGCATATCTGAAGCTTAATCACCTTTGAATTCCAAGTTCATGAATGAGGTTTTCGTTGGAACTGTGTCGGTGACCAGTTTAGACTGCTTATCTTTCATGTTGCTGTCAATAAATCGGTTAGGGTAACCGTTTTCTGCGAGCGTGGCTTTTAAGAAGTCAAGTTCTGATTCAACGCAATCAGAACTACAAATTTTCCTTATCCTAAAGCAGAGCGAATGAATTAGGTTCCTTTTCCTGCAAATAGGGACCCAAATATAAAAATTAGTTAGTTGTCCGTTCCATGTACGTTTCCGGTGGATAGATCTTTTGAGAGATCTGTCATTACGTCTGCTAAGGCACACATATCAAGAAAGGGAATACTTAGTTCGGATTCCTTTTCTATGGTGAATTGTAGAGAAGGATGGCAGTTGTTGAAAGCAAACAAGACATCATCAAGAATTACACTACTGTCGCAGATAACGAAAGTGTCGTCCACGTATCTTTTATAAATGTCAAAATGACCGATGGTTTGACTAAGTTGAGAATTTTCAAGCTTTACCATAAAATACAAAAACAAATCCACGTCTAACCTAACCCCCTCATCTACCTCCATTCTTAATCTTCTTATAATTTAACCTAAAATTAACTGGATATCCTGTTGCGTATTGTTCCGCTTCATTCAGCACTGTGTTATTTGCATGCTTTGATTGCCTTGATCTAACCATGGGTTTCAAAAGCATTGGTGCGTTCACATCTGTTGGATGTTTAAAGGTCTAACTTCACCCTTTTAGGCTGGAGTTTGAATTGAGTCCTGTTAATTTTGTTCCTCCATATTCATCCGTCTGCATTGACTTCAGATTTCGACTTTTCATATTGACCTATTTATCTTGCCCTTTCGAATACACTTAAGTTCTTATTTGTCAAGTACTTATCAGAGCTGTTTTGATCGGTGTACCAGAGGAACATTTGCTGTTATTGTCTTTGAATAATAGTTCAGAATACGATGATAGTTCTGTTGTATGCACAACCTTTTGGTATATATATTCATGTTAGCGTTCAAAGCTTTTTTTTTCCGATGTCTGTTGTATTTAACCAGTAA